ACTTTGATGCAACATCATGTTGCCCTGCCTTCTGATGCAATGGGAAAGATCACTTACATTGCTCCCCTGGTCAATATTTGTTGAAGGTTTGGCCGTTTAATTCTTTTATCATGATATCTATATGCTTTAATGTAGGACATACCTTTATTTTTGCTATATTTGACCCTTTTACTTCATTTCATGATACTGTGCTGGAACTTGAATTCAAGGTGTCAAAAAGCAAATCACCATGCTTCAGGTTTTTTTCTTCAAGTCATTGTGTTTTTTATGCTTATAGGTTACATTAGGCGGGTTGGGTTCTGGCTCAGTTTGTTTATTTTTTGAGTCAAATTATTGAGTGGGGTAATATATGGACGCTGGTCATTCCTTGTACTAGAAGTTGGTCTTGGCCAAGATAATTTTTGTTAATTAGCTTTGGATCATTGTCTTTTTATTAGTTAACTTACTTTTGATGGTCGGCAGGACATTTTTGTTGGGTCAATATTTTGCCATGTGTATTAACCGTTTTTCTTTTTAACAATTGCAAATATTTTATTTTGACTATGCTACACCTGTTTACAGACATGGCCTGTACGTACACCTAGGCCTGTTGCATCGAAACTTGCTGCAGACACTTGAATGGAACGTGGTATTGACTTTGTTTGTGGTCAGCATGTTCTTGATGCCCTAGTCCCCTTAGTTCTTGGTGGAACTTGTGCTATTCCTGGTGCATTTGGCTGTGGTAAAACTGTGATTAGCCAAGCTCTTTCTAAGGTTAATTTTTTTATGGTTCTATTGAACTTAACTTTTTTCAATAATTCAATTATATATTTTCATTGGGTTTATTTTTCTTACCATGTGCAGTACTCAAATTCAGATGATGTTGTCTATGTGGGTTGTGGGGAACGAGGAAATGAAATGGCCGAGGTGGTTTTTAACCTTTCAATTTGAAATTTTATGCATCTGGTAGATTTTAGTACCCTGACTCTATTTTTATTTATTTCAGGTTCTTATGGATTTTCCTCAATTGACAATGACATTGCCTGATGGTCGTGAAGAATCTGTCATGAAGTGCACAACACTTGTGGCCAACACTTCGAACATGCCTGTGGCAGCTCATGAAGCGTCTATTTATACAGGTAAACTTTGAACTACTAATTGTAATAATTGGATGGTGAACTGTTGCATTAAGTGTAACCTTTGGGACCAAGAGTCTCCAATTGTTATTTTTGGCTAATTTCATTCATTACATGACAATTTGTGGGATTTATTCTTGTTACCTTTGTTTCCTTCTGTATTCTGGAAAGGACATGGGCTGCCATAACACTTCTTTTCATTGATATTGCAGGGATCGCAATAGCTGAATACTTCAGAGATATGGGCTACAATGTTAGTATGATGGCAGACTCAACATCTCGCTGGGCGGAAGCATTACGTGAGATTTCTGAACGGCTGATAAAGCTCTGTCAAACCTTTGCTAATGAAACAATCTGTCTTCCCTTTGACTTATCATTTTTCCTACTGCTTCATAAAATTTAGGGTTTTAGGCATGTTGACGTGGTGCATGGAAAATGCTTCAGTGTAGTCCCTGTTCAATAACAGCTCATATGGCTGACAATAAATTAATAATTTTTCAGTGTAATTTGGGTAGAACTGCCATTTCTTTTTACCAGTTGTATTGGTCCTTCAGGTTATAAATACTGTCAAAAATAAGGTTTGCTGGGCAAGTGGATGTGTTTTGTTTTGTTCATATTTCTTCTGTCTGGTATACTTTGGTATTCACCCTATTGTCTTCACCGCTTTCTTTATATTAAGCTCATATTGGCATCTGTGTTAATTTCTCTTGCAGGCTGAAATGCCTGCTGACAGTGGATATCCTGCTTATCTGGCTGCAAAATTAGCCTCTTTTTATGAACGTGCTGGTAAAGTTAAATGCCTTGGTGGGCCAGAACGTACAGGAAGTGTCACAATTGTTGGTGCAGATTCTTCTCCTGGGGGAGATTTCTCTGACCCTGTGACATTTGCAACCCACAGTATTGTCCAGGTATAAATCAAGATTTTATACACTCCCTTGGTTATGTTAGTGCTGTGTGTGACTGTTATACTTATCCGTGCAAGAAAAGAAAAACCTCCATGTTCCTTGTTGGTTTGGATTTTAGGTTTTCTGTGGTCTTCACAAGAAACTTGCTGAGAGGAAGCATTTCCCTTCTGTCAACTGGCTTATTTCATACTCAAAGTACTCGGGGTTATGTTCATAATTGGATACCTCTTAGTTTGTAATTATCTCAAAAAATGATTTTCCTTTATTCTCCTTGAGCTGGCCTTATCCAAGTGGTACAACTTTTCCATATTGATTGATTGATTGTATATTGTGTTCCAAGGCTTTGGAATCTTTCTATGAGAAATTTGACCCTGATTTTATTAGCATTAGGACAAAGGCCAGAGAGGTGCTTCAGAGGGAAGATGATCTGAATGAAATTGTCCAGGTATGTTTCCGTATCATGCTATGGTTCTTGATGAATTAGAATTGAGGCTGAATCATTATTCAGAACATAATGTTGTTTTCATTCTCTTATCCCTTTGTTTGTTTTGTTTTTGTTAGTACTGTTTAGGTGCGGACCTCCTTGTCTGACCTGGTAGGCCTAGCCCATACGAGAAAAATTGTGGCTAGTCCTACCCAAATCATTAACATAAAGAAAAAAAAAACATTACTAGCCCGGGCTCGGTTGAGGAATTTGGAAAAAAATCAGCCTGTTGCCTGCAGCCTGCCCCTTGGACACACATAATTAGCTTGCTACTGTAAATTTTTAGGACCGTCCTTTTATCTCGTCTCAATTCAGCACTCACTGGCATTTTTATGGTTACAGCTTGATGGAAAGGATGCTCTAGCTGAAACAGATAAGATCACACTAGAAACTGCTAAACTTTTTAAGGTAACATTATCTTGCTCAGAATGCTTTTACACCGTAATCTTCAGCCTTTACTATTTGATACCAGAAATTATCTTAGTACCTATCGTTGTTTCAATGTCTTTGTCTTCATATTGTAATCCTTCTATGCACACGTTTCTTCGTTTTGCTGGGACAGATCTGACAAGTTCTGCCCATTCTACAAGTCTGTTTGGATGATGCGCAACATTGTTCATTTCAATACTTTGGCCAACCAGGTAATGCAGCTATGCTTTCGACGCTACTACAACTGCTTATTGATACCATTATGTTTTCCAATAATTTCTATTATGGCTGCTTTTGGTGCTGACATGGACTTCTATAATCTGAGAATAGTTGGAAAAAAAATGTTAACCTTTTTGCTGGCGTGCAAATAAGCAAAATTGATCTGACATAGAAGTCCACGTTGTTTTCCTTTAACAATGGTTTCAATTTTATCTATGTGCTCCGGTAGAAATATAAGGACTATATTAGTCAATTCTGTATAGTCCATGTTAGTGTATGGGACTGTCTCGGTACTTTAGCCTGGGTTTAGCTATTTGGAAAAGGATAAGGGAAAGAAAATGACAACTTCTTTATGGGGGGTGGGGAGAGAAGTTGCATATGGAAATTAGTATTTAAATCCTAAAATATCGGTGCCACTAAAGATGTTAAATTTATGCTAACAAAAGTATAACAGCATGTTCTAGAAATGTATATAGCAATCGAAGTCTGATTGAGTTTGGTGTCATGTGCAGGTAGTGGAGAAAGCAGCCGGGATGGACGGTCAGAAGATAACATACAGTCTTATCAAGCATCGTCTGGGAGATCTCTTTTATCGATGTGAGTTTGAGCTTTCTGCTGGAAATTCTCCGAAGAATAAACAAAAGAATCAAATCAAAATGATGCGAACAGTTATATTTCTAGGATGCCGTGTTTTTGGCCCAAAAGAAGGGATGATGATGTGCTTCATATGTCCATTTTTCCCCTCTACATCACACAGGTCACAAAAATTTGAAGACCCAGCTGAGGGAGAAGAAGCACTTGTGGCAAAATTTAAAAAGCTTAACGAGGATCTGACGGCTGGTTTCCGCGCATTGGAGGATGAGACTAGTCCAGATTTGTCTCGTCTCTGGCTCCATCTTTTGGAGCATTAAGAAACTTGTATGCATGTTGTGCCGTCGTTGTAGCTTTTGTTAGCTGCACGTAAATTCAATATTTATTATTTTTATTGCCTTGCCTTTTTGACAGCATGAAACTGAATCCGTTTTTCTACCATTTGTGTATGGAATAATTTCCCTTTGGATTTGTCTGGGGGGAAATGAAATTTTCAACATAATAATATCAGCAATCTATATATGCGTTCATTGTTTTCGTTTCGTTTTATTTCCCTACTCGTTTCATATGTTATTTTTAAATTGTCCAAGATTTTGCACAAATTCTCTAATCAAGGAATATGTTTCTTTTTACATTATACTAAATAAAATCAGGTTAGATCCAACAATTTACTTTGTCTAGCGACTACAAATTAAATGCGTATCAGCAATAATTAAAAGGACAACAAATTCCACATTACACGATTTGATGGTTTGCCAAAAAGTTACATAAATTCAAGGTACGTAACACACAAGTTCCGGTCGAAATTATTCCAAAGTGAGTTTTGAGGATTTCGTAAGCAAAGACCAACCAATTTGATTCTCCAAGATGGCTGAGGTTGAAAAAGAAGCCACATTCATAGTCGAGGTGCAAATATCCAATTAAGATTCACTATAGCAGCAGCTAGCTTTTACCAAAAACTCCCAAAACCAATGATGCTCTCAGTATTGTAAACCAAACGCAGGGAGTGAATTCAATGCGTTCCCAAAACCTCAGTAAATTCCGGGGATGATCTTGTACGGAAACCTTTTGCAGTATAGTTTCCAGTACTTACCGTATCTGGAACAAAAAGTTTCGATTAGTAAAAGTTAATGTTGTCTCATTAGAACAGTTCACGCTCGATATTAACCACCACTTTACAGATTAAACTCACTTAACATAGAAAAGAGTTGAGTTATAGGGAAAATGTTATAAAACCACTGAACACACACAAGTTACTTGGACCAGCACCAGTCATTGTCCCTTTTGGCTCGGTCGAATAAGAGGATGGTAAGATACACGACATAGAAGTAGGGCAGAAACTGGTGAAGTAACCAAAAGCAATAAAGGTTTCATATATGGTTATGAGTAGGACCAAGTAGTATAATTGTAACGATTAAGAACAAGCTTACATGGTTGAACAGAGCTGGAACAGTCCAAAAAAAATGAAGCTAAAATTTCTGGAACGTAATGGAAATGCCGAGCCAAACCCCACCTACAAGAGCCATTTAATGTTAGTTACGAGGTCCAAGCCACAGCTGAAAATGTATTCTCCGGTAATGAAAACTATGTGAACATCATTTCCCATTGAAGGCCACTCAAATTCCTGTTAACTTTGTACATGCTAATTTAGCTGCTAAATATCTTCCCAACAGAAAGGATACTGAAAATTCTTTATCTTTCTTCGTCATATTCATAAATTAGGGTTTATGAGAAATGATATCAATACGCCGAGACGAACCAATGCAACAGTCATATACACCATAAAAACCAAGTCCGGGCAGACAACAAGTACTTGTGCATGCCGGTTTGCACAATAAATTTCATATTCACACTAGAAAAACTCACCATCCTGATGTTAAAAGAAGGCTGGTTTTGGTTTCCCTGGATATTGTTGTGTTGGTGGCCTCAATCTGTTCAAAAGACCAGACAAGTTCAGACACTGATTTCCGGTTTTACAACCAAGAAAACAGAGATGAAAAATGGCATGAGACAAGCACCTTTGATGGAGCTTTCCCCCAAATTTTGCATTTTCAGTTTGTTCTGCGAAATTCTTGTCTTTTCCTATCGCAATCGTGGTGTATATGCAAAGAATGCCAGCGGCAAGAATATAAAGTGAAAATTGCAAAATAGAAAGAAAATTGTGATAGGACACAGATAGATTTGTTACTCTGACTGACTGTTCCTTTTTATATCCCCATAATCAAACTTGGACACGGATAAAAAAGAACAGTCATTCAGAGTAACACAGCAATCCGTTTCGACATCAACTACATGGTACTTAAGAATAAGGATTACACATCTCTCCCAAAGTCTTTGATTCTTAGTAGGTGGGCAAAGGAGCTGAAGACTAACTCACCAAGTTTTCTTGATTTCAATGTACCACCCGAGGTTGTACAGATAGGACGATTCGCTTCTCTACGTGTAACTTCCACTAGGTTATCCTACATTACATCAAAGACCGATGAGTCTTTCAAAACAGCAAGGGGTTATATGAAAAGACTAGCGGTAAAATTCAAAGACATGTTTACTATAAAAGCATTATCTAAACATAAAAAAAAACGTTCATGGCGTTTGCAACCCACCACATAAACAACCAAAACGAAAACAAGTACCAAAGAAAAGGTCGCAAACAAAAATGGCAATACAAGTTTTGCAAAAATTAGGGACATAACAAAGTTACTTGTCCACGATTGCAACTCGTTTTGCCAACGAGTTCACCACCAACCCATCATGATGTCTTTGCGGATGAGTACATGCAAAATTCATGGAGTAACAAATATGATCAAATTTATGTGAGTTTGTCCGTATATATGTTTGACCATTGTAGACACTTATTTTCGTCCGTGACACTTATTTTCGTCTGTGGTCCTTTCTATGTAGCATAGTATATATAATAATTTCGAATATAGCTTTTGAAAATATAAAGTATATAGTTTTTAAAGTATTTTTGAAAACATATAATATATATAGTTTTTAAAACGATTTTGAAAAACATATAGCATGTGGTTTTTAAAAATAATCTTGAAAACATATAGTATATAGTTTTTAAAATAACAATTAAAAAAAACGTACATTTTTAAAAAATGTATAATATATGGTTTTTAAAACATTTAAAAAACATATGATATATGGTTTTTAAAATATTTTTTTTTGAAAACATATAGTTTTAAAAAACAATTCTTTTTAAAACATATATATTATGGTTTTGAAAAAAAATTCTTTTTAAAGCATATATATATTATAGTTTCGAAAATAATTTTCGAAATCATATTTAGCTTTTAAATTGTTTTTGGAAACTTATAATATATATATATTTTTTTAGTTTTTATTCTATTAATTTTAATTTTTTTAGGATCCAAAATAGTCCAAATTCGGAGTCCAACTGGGTAGTCTAACCCAGTAAACCCAGTAGAAGCCCAACAAGGTACAAGCCTGGCATAGTAGAGGGTTAAGGTTTCCAAACCCTAAAAGGACATAAGCACCAACTGATGGCGGCGTCAATCGGGATTCAAAAACCGGTCAAGTAAATTGGGACCGAGCCATCCCGATAATTCCGGTCAACACGAAACCGACACGATTTTCCAACAATAAACGTCAAACTTGCAAATCGGGACTACACTATCCCGTAATATCCGGTAACAACCCCGTCGGAGGGGCTATATATATACGACGGAAACTAACACAGATCGAGCAAACCAAACAACAAATACCAATCAAACCAAAACACAAAAAAACCATTCGAATATAGCAAAAAAATCAAAACCTTCGCCGAAAGCTACTAGGAGAGCGTAAAGTCTACATCGGGAAGCCAAGGGTCACCGGAGAACTAAAGATCTCGTCGGAAATCAAGGTAAAAGTCGAAGCCTTGGGATTTAGATCTACTTTGATCTAGATTTTTTAGGGTGGATTCGGGTTTACGGGTTCGAGAGGGAACGTAAAGGTAAACTTAATTTTTTTCAAGTCGGGTGACGGTTCGAGGTTAGAACGGTGGTCGGCCATTCGGCCAAGTGTGGAAGAAGGGAGAGAGTTTGGAGAGTTTTATAGGTTTAGTTTAGGAGAAAGGGTGAGAAATGAGGGAATTAGGTGATTTAAGGGGTATTTATAGGGGGATTGGGTTGTAATTATTAGATTTTTAAATTATTTCTACAGTCCCTATACTTTTGATACGTAGTTCATTTTGGTCACCTATTGCAATTTTGCCTCTGAATTTTCAATTAATTCACTCGAGTCCCTGATTATATTTCTTGTATTTTGTAATTCGATCCCCTAACTTTTCTTATTTCTTCTGGCAGCCCATTTCTAGCATTAATTGGATCCATAAATTCCAATTTGTTACATATATTTTTATTTTATCTTATTTATTTCTCTTATTTAACATTTTTTCCTTTTTTTCATTAATATTATATATATATATATATATATATATATATATATATTACATATCTTATCTTTTATTCAACAATTTTTCCTATTTCTATATATTTTTTTATTCTTTCTTTATTTCTTTTACGTAAATTTATATATATATATATATATATATATATATATATATATATATATGTATATGTATCTACCCATTTTTTATTTATTTTTTATGGATATATGTAAACTTGTTTTTATCTTCTCTTAGGAACAACATTAATCGGTCAAAGGTAAGTAATTCGGAAAGACTCTTTAAATTTCAGTTTAACTTTTAATTTTCCCAATTAAGACAACCGATAAATTAAATTGGTACTGAAAGGGCAGTACAATGGTGCTAATCCTTTGTTGAACTATGTTTTGATATAACAATTTATGGAAAATATTTTTGGACTAGAATTGAATTTATTCAAAGTTTTCAAAAACAATTCAAAGTTTATTTAATTTGGAATTGAGCACAAAAAGTTTTTATGAATAGTACTGAATTGTTGAATAGTACCGATTTTGTATGAATAGTATTGATATTGTGTGAACATTAGTATCGATACCATGAATAGTAGTATCGATACCATGAACAGTATCGATGCTTAAAAATTCCAGAATAAAAAAATGGTATCGATACGCTACATTAGTATCGATACCATGAATAGTAATATCGATACCGTGAACAGTAGTATCGATGCTATCAAGCCCAACGGTAAAAAATTCAAATATTACAAAGGTAGTAGCGATACTCATTGAAGGAGTACCGATACTCATTGAAGGATTACCGGTACTACTTGTTCTGTGCAGTTTTATTTTGCAGAAAATTAATCCCCAACGACTCTAAAACATCCCCAATGGCTATATACGACTTTAAACTCATTTCAAGCTATAAAAACAAGATGAGGACACTTAAAGAAAGTAGAGAACACCTATCCAAGCAATCAAACACAAGAGAAGAGTTTTTCAATCTTATCTTATCTTTATCTTGTAAATAATTTTGTTCTTGTGAACTTAATTCTTGTAAACACCTACCTTAGAGAGGTTTTCTTATTTATATTTCTTTCCTTTTGTAAAAGGGGATTGGTTCTAGCTGAGCCCGTTAAAAGCTAGAGAGTTGTAAAGGTTATCTCTTTGTCTTTGAAAAAGAAAGGACAAATTAGTGAATTTGTTAGAAAATCCTTTGTGAGGAGCTAAGGTAGTGAATGTAGACATGGTTGAGAAGTCGAACAACCATAAATCGTTGTGCAAATTTTCTATCTTTCAATCTCCTTACTCCCTAAACAAAAAGAGTGACTCAACCTCTCTTTGTAAGCCCTTTCCCTCTTGTCGAACCCTTTCGGTTGTTGATTCGTACTTTAGCAAATCCTAACAATTGGTATCAAAGCTTAACTCATTAGAAGGTTTAACAACCTTGAGACAATACTTGAAGAAGCTCTACTGTAACATCCCAAACATCGGGTTAGTGACCAAATTATGAGATTCTAGAATTCAGTGACTAAATTAGATAAATTGAAAAGTTTAGGGACTTAATTAAAATATTTTATGTATGATGGTTTAGTAAAGAAGGAGGAATAAAAGGGGTAAATTGGTCATTAGAGCATGGAAATAATTAAAAATTGGATTGTAGTTATTTTATAACCACGTGGAACACATATTTGGGAAAACAAAGGTTCCAGATATCTCTTCATCTTTCTTCTTCTCCAGCCGTGAAGCTCCATAAGCTAAGGTGAGTTTTCTTATGAGTTGATTATTGTTGAAGTTAAGTTTGGTTTATGATTCTTAGATGATACTTAAGCTTAGGGAAAGCTTAAGTTGTTCTAAAACTATAAGATGAGGGACTTAAGGAGGATTAAAGATAAAGGGTCTCTAAAAGAAATCTTGAGAGAGAGGTAGAAATTAGATTTTTAGATTTGAATTGTCTTGTAAACAATTAGAATAAGAAGTAATAAGTGTTAGAAATGAGTTTGGATTATGTTGAAAAAATTGTAAGATTCTTGGTTTCAAAAATTTGAATGAGATATTGAAGTTAATAAGGTGTTGGAATGATTAAAGATAGTTAAAGTGCTTATAGTTGGGTTTAGTGGCAAGAATGGAGTTTAAAATAGAAGAATTAAGTGAAGTGTTGATGATTTTCGGAATGTGTGGAGTATGTTTTGGGTTAGTAGTATCGATACTCAACGAAAAAGTAGCGATACTACAAAACTATTATAGGCTATAATATTGCATAGGTATCGATAATGCATGAACAATATCGATACCATAAGGACATTTTAGACAACATCTTCATGGGGTATCGATACTGAAAGAGGTAGTATCGATACCATGGGTACCGATACCATAAGGCAGGTATCGATACAATCTTTGGAAATGGAATTACAGAATCAGAATTGGGTATCGATACTTGAGTATGACATTGATACCATTATAAGGGAAGTATTGGTACTGTTCTTTGGGTACCGATACTACTTCATAAGTAAAATGTGAATTA